CCCGCCCGCCGGGTGGCTGTCCGGGGGCGACACGTCCTGGGAGCGCCGGACGGAAGCACCGCGGGACTGACACGTGGCCCTGGGCGGCGGCGCTGCCTCGTGGGCTCAGCTGAGCCCCATCGCCCGGATCGGTACTGCCGGCCACCGATGCAGCCGGCCCCGGACGAGGCCCGCAGGGACGAGGCCCAGGATGCCCTATGGTCCAGGTGAGTGGTGGGTCAGGGCATTGGGGAGCGGGGTCTGGGAAGGCTCTCTGCTACGGGGCCGGGGGGAGAGGGGGGGAGGGAAAGGGTGGCTGCTGAGACCCTCCACCGTCTTGGAGAGAGGGCCACCTGTGTTCAGCCTGGGGGCCTCCTGGGGGCGACTGGCCAGGAGAGAGGGAGGAGGAGACAGCCTGCCTGCGCTGTGGGGACCTGGCAGCCCTTGAGCCCTCCCCAGGCAGGAGCCCTGCAGGTGGTGGGCATCCTGGGGCCTGGCAGTGCCCCGGGAGGTGAGGCTGGCGGCAGGCACAGGCACAGCCCCTCGTGTCCTGGAGCTACACCACCAGGCGGGTCCACGCCTGGGCATGGGTAGGAGGCCCACCAGTGACTCCCCACCCAGGCGGTCACCAGCAGCGCCCCCCCACGGGTCATGGGCACAGGAGAGGTGGAGGCAGGCGAGGTGTGGGCCCTGGTGCCTGGCCTCCTCACCACTACTCACACCTCTCCTGCCCAGGGGCTCCCGGGGGACTCACAGTGGCATCTCCTCCTGCCGCCTCCAGGGCAGGACACCCTTCTGTTCGAGCCCCGTTCCCACGGCCACTGCCTCCAAGAGGGCGTCAGGGCAGGGGCTGTGCTCACAGCTGGGGGTGAGACATGCTCAGACACCAGGAAGCCAATGCTGGTGGCCCATTGCTGAGCCATCTGGTGAGAGGGGACCCTGGCCCCAGAAGAGGCCCCACCCCATGGCTCAGCCTTGCTCTTCTGTGAGTTCAGGCCCTTGGCCAGCCTGGCTGGACCTTGAGCCCAAGGTCAGGCCCTGGGAACTCCTGGCCTGTCTGCCACGAGCCCGGGGATCCTGCTCATGGCCTCTGCCCAGCAAAGGGAGGGGAATTTCACCTTTCCCGGCTGCCTCCTCCCAGCCCAGCTGGGGCCTAGGACACTCAGCTGCCAGGAGGGGCTGCAGGTGAGATCTCCTTAGGAGGGCAATGAGTGACAGTCCATCTGATGCTGGGGCCACATGGAGGCAAAGTTGGCGGGGAGGAGGGGAGAAACCCTGGCGGAAGATGCCCTCAAAGGCCAGAAAGCCCATAGGAAGAGCAGCATGGTGCACCCCACAGGGCCCCAGAACTGGCATGTGAAATCCCAGCTGGTGAGCCTCCCTGCCAGGTACCAATTAGAGGGAGGCAGCTGCCCTGGGGCACGCTGATCAGGGGGGCACCTGCCCCTCCTCTCACTGCCTCCTCCAGCCTGCAGCTCACCTGGTGAGTCTGCCCGGCCCCTGCTCACCCTGCAGGTCTACCCAGCCCCTGTTCACCTGGCGGGTCTGCACGGCCCCTGCTCACCCAGCTCAGCCCCTGTTCACCTGGCCTGGCCCTGTTCACCTGGTGGGTCTGCCCGGCTCCTTGCTCACTGGGAACTGCCCAGGGGGCCACCCTGGGGCCAGCAGAATGTTCTGCAAACTTTGCTGCTTTGCTTCCTCCTTTTCCCACGGTGCTGATGAAGGAGGCACAGCCCAGACTTGGAGAAGGGCCCTGGGCAGTTCTGCCGGCCCTGCTGGTGTGCCGAGTGGATGGGGCTCGGCCGGGTGGGGGGAAAGGCCTTCCACCACCTGTGTGTGGATGATGATGTTGATGTCTGCCTTCAAGTGGATGGGCCTCTCAGCTGTGGCCTCTGAGGAGGCCCCTCCTGGCCCGGAAAGTGGCCCCTGTTCTCGGAACCGTTCCAGCCTGCTGGAGGGAGGGTCTGTCTCGGCTGCTCCTAACTGGACCTCTCACCCAGAGAGCAGCCGGGACCAGGCCAGCAGGGGCTGCCTGGAGGGGAGTCCAAAGGGGAGCTGGGCTGCCCTGGGGGCGGATCTGAACCACAGGTGACGCTGTCACTGTCATTTTGAAGTGAAGGAACAAAGCCGCTTTTAACCTTTTCGTGACCAGCGGTGCACATAGTGACCACGAACTTTTCAGCCTCTGAAGGTTTGTCGGGAAGCGGCTGCACCACTGACAGCACGCGCTGCCGCAAGTCACTGCTGTTGCAGGGACTGTAGGAGGCGTCTGAATCTCGGGCAGGAAAAACAGAAATTTTGACAACTTCGATTTGTTGTACCTATGTCCCAGTAGAGTCCAGTGGGGACTCGGGGGTAAGTTTAATGGTGTCATATGCACCAAGGGGCACTAAGGGTAGGCTTGTGGGAGGGGCCAGAAAAAAGATCCATGCTAACTCCTGAACATTCAGACACACTCAGGGATGCTGCATGCTTCCATTAACGAAAACGTGGTATCAACAGAAAATTCAAAGCTGAGAATAACTGGAGCGCCAAAGGGTTAAGGAACACTTGGACTTTGGAGGTCTGTGGGGCATTTGAAACTTTGCTCCCACGCCCCTGCCTCTAGCTTTCTGCAATCAACCAGTTAAAAAACAAAATCTGTGCAAACACCAGGTACAGAAGGCGGGTGGGCAGGCCACTGGGCACACTCCTGAGGGCCGAGGGCCTTTCACAGCGGGCCTGTGTGGGCCACCCAGGACAGGCCTGCCAGGGCGCTGAGCTGCTGCTTCCCACACGGTGGACACTGTTTTGACTGGATAGCTTGGACTGGTCCTGCTACGTTTCCCTGGTGACCTCAGTGGAAGTGTTTGCTCAGGGACCACATCCTGGACATGCCTGCAGAGTTGACAGAAACACGGGCCCACGTCCTGGACACACCTGCAGAGTTGACAGAAACACGGGGCCCGCGTCCTGGACAGGCCTGCGGAATAGACAGAAACACGGGGCCCACGTCCTGGACAGGCCTGCGGAGTAGACAGAAACACGGGGCCCGCGTCCTGGACAAGGCCTGCGGGGTAGACAGAAACACGGGGCCCGCGTCCTGACAAGGCCTGCGGAGTAGACAGAAACACGGGGCCCGCGTCCTGGACAGGCCCTCGGAGTAGACAGAAACACGGGGCCCGCGTCCTGGACAAGGCCTGCAGAGTTGACGGAAACACGGGGCCTAGGTCCTGGACAGGCTTGCAGAGTTGACAGAAGCACGGGGCCCGCGTCCTGGACGAGGCCTGCAGAGTTGACAGAAACACGGGGCCCGCGTCCTGGACAGGCCCTCGGAGTAGACGGAAACACGGGGCCAGCGTCCCGGACGAGGCCCGCGGAGTAGACGGAAACACGGGGCCTGCGTCCCGGACGAGGCCCGCGGAGTAGACGGAAACACGGGGCCCGCGTCCCGGACGAGGCCCGCGGAGTTGACGGAAACACGGGGCCCGCGTCCCGGACGAGGCCCGCGGAGTTGACGGAAACACGGGGTCCGTGTCCTGGACAAGGCCTGGGCAAGTCCTACCAATGGGCCTGGGAGAGAAGCTGGGGCATCTGCCTTATGGAGGGGCCACTGCTCCCTCAGCACCCCCAGAGGGCAGCCTTCTCTCTCAGGTTCGGGCGGGGGTCCCACGGCACAGTCCCAGACTGGAGGGGGAGGGCGGAGACCCTGGTTCCTTGAGGGCCGCTCCCCCCTGCAGATTCTCACCGCATGTCTCCGCTGTCTGGGTGTGGACTGGGGACTTCCTGTGCCAGAGGGTCCCTTCTGTGGGGCCCGGCCTCCCCTGGCCTTGCCAGCCCTGGGCCCCTTCCTGGCTGACCACCAGCCGAGTGTGGAGTATGTTGGCTGCCTGAGCGCCCCTGGGGGCTGGCTAGCCTTGAAGTTGCAAACCCACCCCCACCCCCAAATGCCTCAGAGGCATCGATTCTGTAAAGAAAACCAGCGTTTGGGCCATAGTCCCAGAGGGGGCAGCAAGCTGCCCCAAGGAATTTTGCCCAGGGTTCGAATCAGAACCAGCCCTCCAGGGCACAGCTGGAGTTGGCCTCTTGGAGCAAGGAATGCCGCCTGGATGGCCCACAGCTCCACCATGCTGCTGACCCCCGTTTTCTGGGCATGGAATCATTTCAATGAGATTTTAATAACCAGGATGTCAGTGGGATGGTGGCCAGGCCCCTCCCTGACAGTCACTGAGGGGTCACTGGGCTGTCCCCAAGAGGAGCACCCTCCCCTGGCCCCAGCAGCACGGCCAGGACTCTGGGACCCCTGACACTGCAGAACTGAGGGCTGGCCTTTATTCCTCACGGGACCCTTTTCCACTGGACTCTTACCGGGCGTCCCCATCCGTGGCAGAGGTGGCGACAGACGGGCCAGGAACCCCCCTCCCCCGCCCTCCATTCCACCCCTGAGTAAGTGAGAGACTCGGCGTGAATCCTGGTCCAGTCCACCCTCTTCACTGCAGATGGGAAATTGAGGCCCAGGGAAGGGAAGGGCCTCCCCAAGTCCTGCCAGGGCCCAGAATGGGTCCTGGGTCTCAGCTCCCAGATGTGTGCTTCGGAGCATAAAACACTCATCTGCTCACTGAAAGGTTGGAGGCTTGGGTCTGCCCAGAGGCACCTTGGAAAAAAGGCCTGGTGATCTACTTCTGAAACATCAGCCATTGCAAACCCTGTGGAGCACAGCTCTGCTCTGACACGTGTGGGGGCTCCGTGAGCTGCAGTCGACCCACAGTAGCTCGTTCAGTTCTCCAAAGCCGATAGGACTTTGGCATCTGTAATTCCCAACCCCTAAATGGGGGGCCCTGGCCTGACAAGTATGGGGGACATTGGGCAGGCTCTTTGGAACCAGAACATTCACCAGTGGTGGTAATTCCCTGAAGGTTCACCCGTAGGGGATTGCGTTCCCTGGAGGAGCACCCCCTCTGGGAGGTTCCAGACCCCAGTTGTCGGAAGGGAGTGCTTGGGGGCAGAAGGCCTGCGTGCCGAAGGGGGGGCCTGCTCCCTGGAGTGAGGGCAGCATGGGCGTCGGGCACAGCCTGGGGGCCCCCTTGGTGGTGTGGCTGTGCACAGGAAGGACAGAGGCCCCCTCAGGAAGTCGCCCTCGAAGGCCCAAGCCTGGGGCTCAGCCTGGCTCACCTGGCTGTGGAAAAGTACAGCTTTGGTTTGCAAAGTGGGCACAGACCTGGGCAGACATGCCAGCCGGAGGAGGCGGATGGTCCCCTGTTGCCAGGCCTCCCTCCGAGCCAGTCACAATGGCTCCTTGTTGCCTGTCTGGCACTGGGGACTTCAGGGTCAGGGGCGCTGTCCTCCAGGCGCTCGCAGACCTACCTGGCCCTGGCCCCTAGAGGGCACTGTGGGACGAGCCCATTCTCAGAGGAGGGGACAGAGGTTCAGAGGGGCCTGGCGACCTGCCGCATGTCACACCAAGTGGCCCCAGGGAGCCTTGGGGACCCACAGTTGTCCCAGAGAGAGAACAGCCCCAGGCGATGCTATGAGACCTGACTCCCGCGCAGTGGGCACGTTCTCTGCAGCGATCTCTGGCTCCAGGTCAGTCCCCCGCCACGGTGGGGTGGCGGTGGCGCTGGGCGTGAGGCTTCAGAAGCTGGAGCTCTTGGTTCGGGGGGTGGGCTGTCCTCTCCTGTCTCTCTCCCGTCCCCTCCCCCCTCTTCTTGCACTCTTACCTCTTCCTCCCCTCCCCCTCTCTCCCTCCCCCTCTCCCCCTCCTCTTCCTCCTCTTCCTCCCCACCACCCTCCTGTGGACAGCGGCAGCACCCTGCCACCCGACCCCCCCAGCCACCCGAGGCTGGAGGCCTTGCGGGGACCCTCCCCAGGTCATCTGCGGGTGCAGAAGGTAGAGGGGGCTGGGATTCGAACCCAGCCCGCTGACCACTCAGCTAAAGGGCCTTCCATTGTTCGGCAGTGAAGGATGTCTCCAATGTCTGCCGTTGATTTTGAAACAGCTTCCCCTTACAGAGAATCAGTGCACAGCCCCCTGGAGCCCCTCAGCAGGACCCCCACCCTGCCACTCCTGCCTGGGCTCCCGAGGGACCAGCAGTCCCCATGACTCTGACCTCCCAGCTCAGCCTTCAAGACCCTCTGCTGGGCCGGCTCTCGTGGGGGCCTTGGGGGGGCTCTGGGGGGACCCTCCGCCTGCCTTGGCCCTGTCTCCTCTGGTATCCGGGCCCTCTTGCCCAGCAGGCCCCCTCATGGGTTATGCTCTCAGCCCGCCTGGACCCTTATCGGAGTGCTGGAGACTGTGGGTGTCAGACACCCTTGGTCCGCAGCTCTGGGCCCCGGCCAGTCCTGGCAGTGAGCAGCGTCCAGTGCCCACAGGCTGCGCTGTGGCATCGTTGCTGTCCTGAGGACAACCTCTCGGCTGGGCCACCTCTGCCATCAAGCAAGGCAGAGTACGCCGAGTCTGCGCCTGCTCACCCCCTAGGAGTCTCCAGAGACACTGGGGGCGTTTGGGAGGCCACCCTGCTGGTGTCCAGGGAAGCCGCCCGTTTGCTCTCTTCCTGACAGTGCGACTGCGTCCCATGCATCCTGGGCGGGTCGGGACGATGGAGGAGGGACTGGGCCCAACTGCCGCCCTGTGCCCGCAGGCCCGAGTGCCAGGTGTGGACGAGGACGCTGCTGCTAGGCACGTGCCTGCTGTACTGCACCCGAGTGACCATGCCCGTGTGCGCCGCCTCCATGAGCCAGGACTTCGGCTGGAGCAAGAAGGAGGCCGGCTTTGTGCTGAGCAGCTTCTTCTGGGGCTACTGCCTGACACAGGTGGTGGGCGGCCACCTCGGGGACCGGTAATGCCTCCCCCCATGCCTCCCCACCACACCCACAGGGCAAGGCGAGGATGGGCTGGCTGGGAGGGGGAGGGGCCATTGGTGAGTAAATTTGGGGAGAGACCCCGCCCAGAGGAAGAAGTGAGGGGAGAGGAAAGGCCACAGGGGCAGAGCAAGTGGTCGGCTAGGAGGGGCTGAGGGGCTGCACGCACACAGCAGCCGTAGGGAGCACCCAGTGTCCTAGCCAGGTGGCTCTGGGGCAGAGTGGGCATGCAGAGACAGACGGATGGACAGACAGGCCCCCCCATCTCCCATTGTCCCCCTCCCCAACCTGGGCAGAGTGGCATGCAGAGACAGACGGATGGACAGATAGGCCCCCCCATCTCCTATTGTCCCCCTCCCCATCCTGGGCAGAGTGGGCATGCAGAGACAGACAGATGGACAGACAGGCCCCCCCATCTCCCATTGTCCCCCTCCCCATCC